GCACTCGGGGTGGTTTGGGACCGTGAACGAGACGAATTTCGCTTTTTTGTGCGTCCCATGACCAAACATTTCACTAGGAGGAGCATACTTTCATATGTTTCCTCTTTCTTTGATCCAATGGTATACATTACTCCAGTGACGATACTCGCAAAAAAGGTCCTGCAAAATTTATGTAAACGCCAAGTAGGTTGGGACGAAGAGATATGTGGTGAAGAGTGGACATTGTGGGGAAAGTGGTTAAATGCAATGCCTAACCTCGAACACTTCTCCGTACCCCGATGCATCAGGCCAGAGGAGGCGAAACCAAACTATGATTTTCAACATCATGTCTTTAGTGATGCCCCTGAAACCGCTTACGGCGCAGTCGTCTACATGGTCGTGGGGGGAAAAAGCGAAACAACGCCATCTCGGTTAATATTTTCGAAGGCCAGAATCGCCCCTATTCACGCGACTAGTATACCATGCCTGGAGCTAATGGCAGCTGTGGTAACCGTTAAGATAGCCAGGTTGATCTGCACAGAAATGAGCGTGAAGATTTTAACAATCTACTGGACAGATTCTCTAGTGGTGCTCCAAAGCATTCGCAACACTTCGAAACGTTTTCCTACCTTCTTCTCCAATCGTTTATCGCTTATACACGATCTCTCTAGACCAGACGAATGGCGATAAATCGAATTCTGGCGGAATTCCACCGACCTGCTATCTGGTGGTGTCTTTGCGGACGGAACAAATAAGCTAGAACGTTGGAAAAATGGTCCTGAATTTTCGGTGATTCTAACAGAACAATCACTCCCGGTCATAGAAAATGCTTGCGTAATGACACACCTCAGTTCGGACTCAGGGCGTGTCGGCTTGCTTCAACAAACTGCCACAGTGATCGCTCGCCATAGTCCTTTAGCCTCGTGGAACAAACTTCAAGGATGCGTAGCCTGGATTCTTCGTTATAAAGGGTATTTGAGGAATCCCTACACAACACCAAAGGGTAGACTGATATTGGCAGAGATGAGGGAAGCGTCATCAGAGATTGTAAGGATGGTGCAATTAGAAGCGTTTCCCTATGAGGTGAAGCTCCTTGGGAACAACAATACCTTTGATGATGCGCTTAGACGGTGCGGTGCCAAAAGAAAATCCCTTCGCAAAGTGTCTAGTTCGTTGAGATGCCTTACAACAGTCGTCGTGGATGGAGTATTACGCGTCGGAGGACGGCTACATAACAGCTGTCTACCGCTCGAGACCAAACATCCGATCATTCTACCGTCCCAACACTTTGTGACGCATCTACTTATCCAACATTATCACGAACTGAACTGTCATATGGGACAAAGCTATATTCTATCTACAATAAGGACGCGGTACTGGATATTGCGGGTCAACAAAACGATGAAATCTTCTTTGAAAAGATGTCACAAGTGCCGGAGATGGTTTTCTCGACGCTACCAACAAGCTGTGACTCCGATCCCCCTCGATCGGACTGTACAGTCTTGCGACCCCTTTACGATTTCAGGAGTTGATAATTTCGGTCACGGCTCACTCGGTTGTCACCTATTGCGAGAATTTCGGCCTCATGGAATTTAAATGTGTGGCCGGGTCTCGTCGAATGAGCCGCAACTTGAGAGCTGGCGTCATTTCTGCGCCCCGCTGCCGCGTGTTCGGCCATTCTCGTTCGGAGCTGTCTTCCGGTTTCTCCGACGTAGTTGCTTTGTCCGCAACTGCACCAGATCCGATAAACGACTCCAGACGTTTCTAGCCGTGGCAGTGGGTCTTTCGGTTTCATGATCAGACGCCTGATGGTTGCCTCCGGTCTGTGTGCCACTCCAACCCCAAGTGGTGCGAGAAGGCGGCCGACAGCTTCCGAAACGTTCTTGACATACGGAAGTGCCCGCCAAGACTTGGTGTCCGTGCGGTTAGGCCTTTCGTCCCTTTTGCGTATGCACCGGTCGACGAAGTTGCGCGGGTAGCCATTGGCTTTGAAGACCCGTCGGAGGTATTGTAGTTCAGCAATTTTGTCTTCCGGCTCACAGCAGTGCGTTTCGACACGCCGATAGAGAGTCCTTACACAACTGCGTTTGTGGCTGATTGGGTGGTTACTGTTGAAGTTCAGTACTTGCATCGTATTTGTCGCTTTCCTGAACACTTTATGTACGATACGAACTTACTATTATTGGTTTAGCACATAAATCCATCATTGTTGTCTTAGATGTCCTTCCCTCTGTCATTATTCTTAAGTTATACGTTACATCGCGGACTCGGAAAAAGACATTTTAAAATTATTTTTGGGTTACTTTTGCAATCTGTGGCTACTCTATTGAGAGTTATTCAGTAAAGCTCCTGCGAATACGCGAGCATTTTAGGTAAACCGTTCAACTGAATCTCACCCCTGGCTCACAGCCCAGAAACATCTGTAGCTATCTTAATTAAAGCAACCTCCAAATTCCCAGATAAACCAAAGAGCGATAGGTTGCTGGACCCTGTTTGCAATCCACCCGCTTGATGTTGTGAGTTGTGCAAAGATTTCTCTTTCGACTTATAGTTTTTATTTAGGCAGCGACCAGTTAAGTCCACTGAAAACATACAATTTTCGATGTATAAAACCCATAACCATGACTGAAAACACCCGAATACCACTGACACCATCGTATGCCGTGCTGTCCGGATTAAGCTACAAGAAATGAAAATAACAATTATTAATTATTAGAGTATGATACTGCGAAACTGGCGTTGTAGTAGGATTATAAACTGAGCTGGGCATGAGGGAAATAAATGAAGTTCATACGTGACAACCTGCAGCAATTATACTAGATTTCTGGAATGTTATATGGTGTTGTCAATTACGCCAGGGATAAAATGCAGATGGTTCTGCTAGGTGGTAAGATGTAAAATAAGGGCAAGCGAAGTTGGCGGTGTATAGAGCAGACAAAAAAATGCTTGTCTTTGGAAAGAAAAAGCATTACGCTGGAAAACATTGAGGGAAGGTGTAAATGTGAAACAAGTGAGATCGCAAAGGAACCAGATGAAAAAAGTCGAGAAATTACTTATATACAATTTAGTAGAAAAAATTACTGCGAAAAGAAAACCTGGTAACGGCAAAGAAGAAGAGGAAATGCTCCAAAAATAACTGAACGATAAATAAAACTACCCATGATTACTTGAAGAAAGGATCGTGTAAAAACTGCCAATTGCCCAGCGGTATGTTCTTAAATTAATTGTTTCGCCTTTTAAGTGGCCAAGGGGCATGCAACCGGTCCATGTCACGAACTAGATCGCATGCAGAGTTAAGACTGCATCTAAATGACAGACGAAACCGTCCGGCAAAATGCGCTCTGCGGGCATTTCAAATAACAATGAAGCCATCCCACTTTAATTAGGCACCGACACTCGTCAAATCTAATGCACGACCTTGATTAATTTCCTGTTACACAACAAACTGCATATGGTCTTTCTACGTACCAGTAGAACGCACCATCACAGTGACAAGTGGTTTCAATCACACGAAACAATGCAGCAATTCTCCCACAACAATCAGGAAAATCTAGGCCTCATACGAGCTGGGTCAGCAGTGTTAAAACGATATATTTATTAAAGAAGGTAAGAGATGAAGTAGCAGAAAAAGAGTAACTGTGACAACAAAGCCGTTCAGAAAGATAAAATAGCTCAACATAGTTATAAAGTAAACACACAGTGGACTGCAAGAAATATGTTCTGCAATCAAGCGGCTTAGCAAAGATGTGAAACAGAAAATACATACCTTCATCCTGGCAAGTCTCATCGCAATAGTAAAAATCCGAACAGTTCTCATCTTGGTCGGTGCAAGGAATACACGACTTGGAATATTTGTCACACTTGTAGGAAACAACGTCTGTGTTGTCAGCAGTCAACCGGACGAAAGCCATATACAGAACAAAGTTATTAATAAGCAAAAATATAAAAAGATCAGGACAGTTAAGACAAAAAAGATCAGAACACAGCACACAGAGACAAAAAGAAAACGAAAGCAAACAATAACAAAGAGAGTTGATAAATATTTGAAAAACGCTAAGAAAAGAAACGACAACGAGAAAAGAAAAAGAGTTGTAAAGAAAAAGAGGATAAGCTGAAAGACAAGAGAGGGCAAAAAGAAGGAGAAAACGAATACAAGAGAAAAGGGGAAAACAGACCGGACATAAAACCAGCACTCAGAAGAAGAAAACAAGTTAAAAAACATGCCATTATCGCCACAAGAATCCGCGCAAGTGCGTAAGTCCACACAATTGGCCTGATTCTCAACGCAAAGTACGCAGAGCTGGGAATCTTCGTCGCACATGAAACCACCTGTGTTTGGTTCGGGAGCTGCCAATATGAAAATCGATGCAAACGGAAGAGATCACGGGATATCAGGGAAACAGGCAAAGAAATACAAAATAAAACAGGTTAGGTATAATCAAGTCAAGAGACGACAAACAAGGCCGCAGCCCCTGCACATACAGCATCTGTACAAATGCCGAGGGATATTTGCGGCCTTCATGCCTGCATTATAGTATGCATGGGTAGTAATCTGCGGTCTTCTCCTGACACATCAGCCACCTCATCCATAAGCAATCAACCACTTGCCTACTGGTTCGTTTTGTGCAAGAGGGCCTTTTTCCAGCGTAACAGGAGCATACAGACTGCTTTCTTTGCGCCATTCATGAATACGCAGTCTTGCCATGCAGAAACACCGTGGCGCTACGCATGGCAGCAGTGCTATGACATCATGACTGCATAGAATACTTCAGTCCTATGGCACCTAAGGGACATTCAATTAGCCGCTGTCATAACTTCGCTCGCACGATGCAATAGGTTGGTATGTGAATCGTAGGAGAAATCGCCTTGAGGTAGTATGCCACCGGGGTTATTTCATGTAACGCCTTCGCACTGCAGCTTCGCCCATTCTATTGCAGAAAGGCCACCTTTCCTCCATGATGCACTAGCCTATCTGGTTTTCCTGCCATAGCATGAATTGCTTTCACCACCCATTTCTGCCAATGAATGAGGCTTCGCTTCGACACGATTGTGCACACATGCGCGGCGAGGCTCTCTTGAGGTACCGGACTAATTAACCTTTGACAATTTAGTCCTGTTTTCATTGTCCGGATTGCTTGTTTGAATGTACCTGTACAACCCGCCTTGTTAGCGTGCTCCGCTGTCGATCTCCATTGTCAGGTTACTTAGTGTTCAAAATCGCTCTATTATTCCCTGCTCAGTCTTACTTGCTACATTTAAGGCCAAAGGCTCGAGAGATATATGTCGTTAGTTCGTGAGAACATTACCATCTATGTCATTGGTGACTCCCGACGTTAACGCAGATATTTGGCCTTTCAATGTCATGCTGAATAACATTTAACGAACTAATTGTTTCCATTTACGTTTACTTCTCTCATGAAGTCTGATATTTTACTCATCTCAAGCAGCAACTTGATGCCCCCGTTGATTTCCTTCATGCCATCAATTTTACCTTGCCTGAATTCTGGCAACACGCTCCAGAACTTTACTTCATCCGCAAAGAATCAGCCTTTTATTCCGCTTACGTTCCCAAGGAGCTGGCGAAATACCACTAACTTGTGGGGGCCCTCCCCGCTAGTGTCATCTCTCCAGTTCAGTCCTTGTTATCAAATCCTCCTGCAGATGCTCCCTACTCCACGATAAAGGCAGACATTCTTCGACTTAATTCTGTGTCCGACCGACACTGGTATCACCAGTTACTTAAAGAGGAGTCGCTGGGGGACCAGAAGCCCTCAGAACTTCTACGTCGAATGCGTTCTCTCCCTGGAGGCATGCAAGTGGACGATAAATTCATCAAGGAGATGTTTCTAGAGCGTCTGCCCGCAGATGTTCAAACGCTCCTGGCGTCCGGCTCTCAAGATCGTACAGTCTCACAGCTGGCTGAGATGGCGGATCGAATGATAGAGGTGCAGCGGTTCCAGTCACCTTCCGTTGCCAAGATCCCGTCATCGTCAGTGAAGGATAATTTAATGAAACAGGTGTCGGCGATGGCGGATGAGATGGCCTCCCTTAAAATACAGCTCGCCCGCCTTACTTCCAGTCGCTTAAACAGCTGTTGTCTTTCTCGTTCGCGACCTCCGACTGCCGATACTTGTTGGTGTCACTTTAATTTCGGCGTAAAGACCCGTCGCTGGTCCTCACTCTGCTCTTTTAAGCCGAAACAAGAAAACCAGTCAGCCAGAGAATAGATGCGACCGTTTTCTCTGGCTCTTCCGGCTCTGGTCACGCCTTTTATGTTTGCGACACTGCAACGCACAGACGTTTCCTGATGGACACTGGAGCCCGAATCAGCGTTGTTCCCCCAACTGCAGCTGATCGTCGTTTCCCTAGCCCTGGTCTTCACTTCCAAGCTGCCAACTGTTCCCCCATTCCCACTTTTGGCAGTTTGGCCCTCACCCTGAACATTGGCCTTCGTCGGTCATTCACTTGGATCTTTGCGATTGCTGATGCCCCTCAGGCAATCCTCGACTCGGACTTTCTTGCCAAGTTCGATCCCCTTGTTGACCGCGGACGTACCCGTCACCTCGACTGCACAGTCGGTCTGTTTGTTCGTGGACTAACTTCTTTTACTGCCCCCACCAACTTATCTGTCTTAAATACGGATACTGAGAGCACCTTTCGGTAACTACCTCTTAGTCATTCCAAAATACTTAATCCCCAGTTTCGCTGTGGTGAGGTCCAACATGATGTTGTGTACCGTATTTGTACCTCAGGTTCTCCTGTGTTTGCTCGGCAGAGACAACTATCACCGGGGCGTTTTCAGGCCGCGAAGGCGGAGTTTGAACGCAAGCCGCAACTGGGAATCGTTTGATCGTCCGAAAGCCCTTGGGCGTCCCCAAGGTGACGTCAGGCGACTGGCGACTCTGTGGCGACTACCGAGATCTCAACAGCGTTACCATTGCTTATCGGTACTCCGTGCCTATTCTTCAGGACGATGCTAGAGCCCATTTTGGGAATGCGGTTTTCTCGAAGGTCGATCTGGTGCGCGCTTTTCATCAGATTCCAGTCGTCCCCTGAAACTGCCGTCTTCACACCCTTCGGTCTTTTCGAGTTCATCCGCATGTCGTTCGGTCTCCGCAATGTCGCCAAAACGCTCTAGAGGTTCATCAACCATGTCTTACGTGGCCTGTCCTTTGTGTACGCCTACATTGATGACCTCTTGGTGGCCAGCCAGAATGAGAAACAACACAAAGAGCATATTGCCTTAGTGTTTGACCGACTTGATAAGTTTAGTGTTGTTACCAACGCCTCCAAGTGCGTGTTGGGTGTGCCTTCATTCGAGTTCCTCGGCAATCAGATCGCTCTGAAGGTTTGCCTCTCCACTCTAAGGTTGAAGCAGTTCGTAATTTCCATCTACCAACTTCCAAGCGACAGTTGCAGCGATTGCTCGGCATGGTCAAATTTTTACGCCAGCACCTACAGAACCGTGCTGACCTCATGCTGCCGCTCACCAACATTCTTTCTGGTCCCAAAGGCCCTTCGAGCAGACTAGTGTCGTAATAACTGCTTTTGGAAGTATTAAGAAGTCCCTAGTTGACGTCACTTTACTTACGCATCCCGTTCCAGAAGATCAGCTGTCTTTGATGGTAGATGCTTCGACCGTAGCCGTAGGTGCAGTCCTTCAACAACACCTTGCTGGTTCGACTCGACAACTTGCCTTTTTCTCCAAATCAGCTCTTACCAGCTGAGACACGCTACAGTACGCTTGACGATGAACTACTCAGGATGTCACTGTTTTCGCTGACCACAAACCGTTGACTTTTGCACTTCGTTCCCACTACGACAAGTACAATCCGAGGGAAATCACCCACCTGGACTACATCTCCCAATTCACCACCGACATCCGCCACATTGATGGCACGAACAATGAGGTGGCTGATATGCTGTCTAGACCCTCATTGTCTTCCCTCCAACTGTCACATGGGACCGATCTTTGCGTCACGGCGGCTGAGCAACAGCGAGTCGGTTGTCCTGGTGACGAGTCTGTCAGTGGTCTTCAACTCAAAGACGTCCCTCTGACCACCGGCTCTGGTACTATAGTTTGTGACGTCTCAACTCCCTTTCATCGTCCTTTTGTGTCGGCCTTGATGCGTCGAGCTGTATTTCAAACTTTGCATGGACTCTCCCACCCTGGGATCGGAGCCTCTCAAAAGCTCCTCGCGAAGAGGTTCGTCTGGCCTGGCATGAACAAGGACGTCAAAGTTTGGACCCGGTCGCGTCTGAGTTGCCAGCACAACAACGTGCAACGTCACAACAAGTCCCCACCAGGCACTTTCCCCAGTCCCGATGCAAAGTTCAGACATGTGTACCAGGATGTCATAGGCCCTTGCATCCATCCAATGGCTTCACTCACCTCCTTACCTGTGTCGATCGATATACCCGCTCGGCTGAAGCTATTCCTTTGCCGAATGTACTGGCTGAAACCATCGTGAAGGCCTTCGTCAGTCGTTGGGTTGCCATGTTCGGTGCCCCATCCACGGTCACGAGTGATCGTGGTGCCCAGTTTGAGTCCGCACTCTTTCAAACTCTACTCAATTTCCTTGGCTGCACACGCATTCGGACGACAGCCTACCACCCAGCTGCCAAGCGTATGGTTGAACATTTCCATCGCCAGCTAAAGACCGCCTTGCGTGCCGTAGAAAACCCAGGAAACTCTTCGGACAACCTTCCTCTTTCACTCCTCGGCATCCGCGCAGCTCTGAAGTCGGATCTGGGCTGTAGCGTAGCTGAATTAGTTTTCGGCACTACCCTCCGACTGCCAGGCTGGATGCTCACCCCAAACTCTCGTGGGGCCGACGAGACTCTCGACAGCCTTGTGCACCGCTTGCGGCAATTTATGCGTTCGCTTTCCCCGATTCCACCTCGGACTCCAAGGACTGATTCTTATGTTGACAAAGACTTGAACAACTGCACTTGTGTGTTCGTCTGGTGTGACCGTGTGCGCCAGCCGCTGGAATCACCATACAAATGACCGTTCCGCGTGCTCGCACGCAACGCCAAGACCTTTCGGATTCTTCGCGGTGACAAGGAGGACGTGGTCAATGTCGATCGGATCAAGGCTGCTGTTTCAGTGGAGCCGCCGGACCCGTCCAAAGGACAAAAATGTGCTAACCCCATAACCCGTGTTCCTCCGTCTTCCATGTCCCCTCCATATTCACCCCGCCCACTGCCTCGTCCTTCCCTCCCCTTGCACTCTACCCCTCCGCCCCGCATACTTTCTCATCATACAAGTCTACAGCATCCAAATGCAACCTCATCCTCTACCATAGCATGCAAATAACCATCCACGAATGCGCCTCCAGTTAATATCAACCGGAGTGACCGTCACGTTCATTTACCCGAACGCTTAGTGACGCATTTTTACCCGATATATGCATATAATCCAGCGCCGTATTACGTCGGCCTACTGTAAAGTTGTTGGTAAAATGGTGACAAAATGTACAAAATTGTCCGTACGACACGTTTGAATGTGACAAAACACACATGCAAAAAAGCAAATAATAGCGTGACCCGATGTCGTGCTCTCATTTCAGGATGGTAAAAGTTCACATTCTACACGAGAAACAAAACTCAGCTTTAAAATCGGCATAAATATTAAGGGGTTAGAGAGACATAACAGGCCAGATAGAGAGAATACTAACGTATAAATACAAAGAAATGCAGAATAGGCGGAAAAGGGCTTGACAGTGGTTTTAAAGTAAGTGTGATGACAGGATCATATAATTAACCAGAGACATATGCTTTACGAGCCTGAAAACACCACAAGTCACACAAAGTAGAAGCATTCATAAAATCATGCCTGCAGCCACAATAATACTTGACCTTTGGACATAGGTTAATTACAGGGAGCAATTGTGACCTATTGATTCTGTCGGTGCACGTTGGGTTAGTAAGCAGTAAGTAGGGAGGAGGAGGGAGAACTTACCTTCTTTGCCGCAGGTCTCTTCGCAAGTGGATAAGTCCGCACATTGGTCACCATCGTCAGTGCATGGTACACAGATCTGGGAATCTTCGTCGCATTTGAAGCGGTCTTTTGTTGGTTCGGGAGCTGGTCATTTAGGAGTGGTTGCAAATGAAAGAAATGATGAGGTTTGAGTGGAGATAGGCGAAGAATTCCAGAATGAGGTATGCCACGTGAAATCAAGTCTATCAGTCACCGCCGCATCAGACAGCCTTCTGCGAGATAAGTTTACAATGGCCATTGCCGATTTCTGCACAGACATCCTCATGCAGACTACAGTCATCAGGATATTCGCTGACACAGGCTATGCATGTATGTATGTATGCATGTATGTGTGCCTGCATGGCTTTTTGAGGCGAAAGCACTTGCAGGCACTGCATCCGTTAGAAAGGCAAGCCTGCTGACATACCTAAAAGCCTTAACACCGATAGTTTACTTTCGGCGCATTCATTGTGCGCTGCCACAACTCCGACTGCATTCGCATCAGCACCACGTGCATCTCAGTCTCGCTGCGGGCTAGATTCGAGAAAGACACATCCACTCCTCTGCCCTTCTATTTGGAGCATATCTCTGCTCGTTAACTCCCTACGTCTTCTCACCGCACTTTAATCCTAATTATGATGATGATGTTGATGAAGAGGAGGAGGAGGAGAAGGAGGCTGTAGCAATCAAGTGCGTCGTAAAACGGCACGACATCGGGCTGTTTGCATGTCCTCTGCTGAAGTCTGCTTACCTATGTGTATCTGTGCACAAGCAGTACTTCCCTCTTGCCTGCTGGAGGCACTAAGGCATGCACAGACACAGCGCACGTCTCGGCATGAAAAGATGCTCCAAGCTCTGCCGGCATGTCATACCGATTACATGCAGTGTTTGTGCAAATACCGAAGGACATTTGCGGCCTTCATGCCTGCATTAGAGTGTGCATGGGTAGTCATCTGCGGTCCTCTCCTGACGCATCATCCGCCTCTTCCGTAAGCAATCAACCAACTGCCTGCTGGTTCGTTCTGTGCAAGAGGGGATACGTCCAGCGGGGCAGTAGCATACATACTGACTTCTTTGCATCAGTCATGAATGCGCAGTCTTGCCATGTACAAACACCATCGCGCTAGGCATGTCAGCAGTGCTATGGCATCATGGCATCAGTTCTGTGGCACCTAAGGGGCATTCAACCAGCCCCCGTCATGACTTCGTTCGCACGATGTAATAGGCCGCTATGTAAGTCACAGGTGAAATCGCCTTGAGGTAGTATGCCACCGGGGTTATTTCATGTAACGCCTTCGCACTGCAGCTTCGCCCATTCTATTGCAGAAAGGCCACCTTTCCTCCATGATGCACTAGCCTATCTGGTTTTCCTGCCGTAGCATGAATTGCATCCACCGTCTATTCCTGCCAATGAATGAGGCTTCTCTTTGACAAGAGCGTGCACACATGCGCGTAGAGGCTGTGTTGATTTACCGGACTAATTTACCTTTGGCAATTTAGTCCTGTTTTCTTTGCTCGGATTGGTTGTTGGAATGTGACGGAAAAAAAACACACCTGTACAAGCCGCCTTGCTAGCGTGCTCCGCTGTCGTGCTCCGTTGTCAAAACGTTCAAAATCTCTCTATTATTTACTGCTCAGTTTTGCTTGCTGCATTTTAGGCCAGGGGCTCGTGAGATATATGTCGTTAGTTCGTGAGAACATTACCATCTATGTCATTGGTGACTCCCGACGTTAACGCAGATATTTGGCCTTTCAGTGTCATGCTGATTAACACTTAACGTACTAATTGTTTGTGAATATCTATTCTATTTACATTTACTTTCCTCAGGAATTCTGATATTTTACTCATCTCAGGCAGCAACGTGATGCCCCCGCCGATTACCTTCATGCCATCAATTTTACCTTGCCTGACTTCTGGCAACACGCTCCAGAACTTTACTTCATCCGCAGAGAATCAGCCTTTTATTCTGCTTACGTTACCAAGGAGCTGGCGAAATACCACTAACTTGTGGAGGCCCTCCCCGCTAGTGTCATCTCTCAAGTTCAGTCCTTGTTATCAAATCCTCCTGCAGATGCTCCGTACTCCGTGCCTCCGGTATAGTAGGGGGGTACTGAGGAGATGAAATGGACTAAATTAACCTTGACAAATTAGTTCTGTTTTATTGCCCGGAGGGCATGTCTGAATGTGACGAAAAAAACACACATGTAGAAAAGGCCCTGCTAGACTGATCCGATGTCGTGCCCTGTTGTAAGGTGGCTTAACGTTCAAAATCTGTATCAGACAAACCGCTCCGTGTTACATGCTGCATTATAGGTAAGGGGCTCGAGAGATATAACTCGTTAGATAGTAAGAAAATTACCCTCTAAAGGGAAAGAAATTCAGAATTTGCGGAAATGGCCCTGACAGTGAATTCTAGGTAACAGTGATGACCGGATGATATATTTAACCAGAGACATATGCTTTACGAGCCTGAAAACATCACAAGTCACACAATGTACAGGCATTCATAAAATCATGCCTGCAGCCACAATAATACTTGTGTCCTACTGATTCTGCCGGTTCACGTTGTGTTCGTTCGCAGTAAGCAGGAAGGAGGTTTAGGGGGACGAGGAGAAAGGGGAGGAGGGGGGGTAGGAGGAAGAGGAGGAGGAGGAAGACGAAGAGAAGGAGGAGGAGGAGGAGGAGAAGAAGAAGAACTTACCTTCTTTTTCGCAGGTCTCTTCGCAAGTGGATAAGTCCGCACATTGTTCATCATCGTCAGTGCAGGGTACACAGATCTGGTAATCTTCGTCGCATTTGAAGCGGTCTTTTGTTGGTTCGGGAGCTGGTCATTTAGGAGTGGTTACAAATGGAAGAAATGATGAGGTTTGAGTGGAGAAAGGCGAAGAATAGCAGAATGAAGTATGCCACATGTAATCAAGTCTATCAGTCACCGCCGCATCAGACAGCCTCCTGCGAGATAAGTTTACATAGGCCTGGCCATTGCCGATTTCTGCACAGACATCCTCATGCAGACTACAGTCATTAGGCTATTCGCTGTCACAGGCTATGCATGTATGTGCGCCTGCATGGCTTTTTGAGGCGAGCGCACTTGCAGGCACTTGCGCCCCTGCAGGCACTGCATCCGTTAGAAAGACAAGCCTGCTGGCTGCCATTCCAAAAAACATGGTCAATTTTTACCGTCGGTTCCTACCGAACTGCGCTGACCCCATGCTGCCGCTCACCAACATGCTTTCTGGTCCCAAAGGCCCCCTCGAGCTGACTAGTGACGGGCTGACTGCTTTTGAAAGTATCAAGAATTCCCTTGCCGACGCCACTTTACTCACGCATCCCGATCCCGAAGCGCAGCTGTCTCTGATGGTTGATGCTTCGACCGTAGCCGTAGGTGCAGTCCTTCAACAACACCTTGCTGGTTCGACTCGATCACTTGCCTTTTTCTCCAAATCAGCTCTTACCAGCTGAGACACGCTACAGTACCTTTGGCCGTGAAATACTTGCTATTTACCTGACCGTGAAGCATTTGCGACATTTCCTCGAAGGTCGGGACTTCACTGTTTTCGCTGACCACAAACCGTTGACTTTTGCACTTCGTTCCCACTACGACAAGTACAATCCGAGGGAAATCACCCACCTGGACTACATCTCCCAATTCACCACCGACATCCGCCACATTGATGGCACGAACAATGAGGGGGCTGATATGCTGTCTAGACCCTCATTGTTTTCCCTCCAACTGTCACACGGGACCGATCTTTGCGTCACGGCGGCTGAGCAACAGCGAGTCGGTTGTCCTGGTGACGACTCTGTTAGTGGTCTTCAACTCAAAGACGTCCCTCTGACCACCGGCTCTGGTACTATAGTTTGTGACGTCTCAACTCCCTTTCATCGTCCTTTTGTGTAGGCCTTGATGCGTCGAGCTGTATTTCAAACTTTGCATGTACTCTCCCACCCTGGGATCGGAGCCTCTCAAAAGCTCCTCGCGAAGAGGTTCGTCTGGCCTAGCATGAACAAGGACGTCAAAGCTTGGACCCGGTCGCGTCTGAGATGTCAGCGCAACAAGGTGCAACGTCACAACAAGTCCCAACCAGGCAATTTCCCCAGTCCCGATGCAAAGTTCAGACATGTGTACCAGGTTGTCATAGGCCCTAGCCTGAAGCCACAATGATACTTCACCATAGGTAATATTTTACTTAAATTAAGCCCCTTAGACCTATCGAATCTGGGGGTTTACGTTGTGATAGTTTGCTTAAGGACGATGAGCACGAGGGGGAAATTGAGGAGGAGCAGGAGGTGGAGGAGAAAGACGAAGAGAAGGAGGAGGAGGAGTAAGACGAGGAGAAGGACAAGGAGGAGGAGGAGGAGGAGAAGAACATACGTTCTTTGCCGCAGGTCTCTTCGCAAGTGGATAAGTCCGCACATTGGTCATCATCGTCAGTGCAGGGTACACAGATCTGGGAATCTTCGTCGCATTTGAAGCGGTCTTTTGTTGGTTCGGGAGCTGGTCATTTAGGAGTGGTTGCAAATGGAAGAAATGATGAGGTTTGAGTGGAGAAAGGCGAAGAATTGCAGAATGAAGTATGCCACGTGAAAGCAAGTCTATCAGTCACCGCCGCATCAGACAGCCTCCTGCGAGATAAGTTTACATCGGCCATTGCCGATTTCTGCACAGACATCCTCATGCAGACTACAGTTATTAGGCTATTCGCTGACACAGGCTATGCATGTATGTATGTATGTGCGCCTGCATGGCTTTTGAGGCGAACGCACTTGCAGGCACTGCATCCGTTAGAAAGGCAAGCCTGATGACATTCCTAACAGACTTAACACCAATGTTAGGGGGCGCTCACCGATCGTTCATACGGAACCCACTCGTTCCGTTGTGCCTTAAGGGCTCTTTCTCGAGCCCAACCAGCAGCCGCACAGCGGCGCATGATATATATGCAGAATGATATTAACTTAACACCGATAGATTACTTGCGGCGCATTCATTGTGCGCTGCCACAACTCTGACTGCATTCGCATCAGCACCACGTGCATCGCAGGCTCGCTGCGGGCTAGATTCGAGAAAGACACATCTTCTCCTCTGTCCTTCCATTTGCAGCATACCCCTGCACGTTAACTCTCCTCCGTCTTCATCCCTAATGATAATGATGATGATGATGATGATGATGATGATGCGGAGGAGGAGGAGGAGTCTGTAGCAATCAAGTGCGTCCCAAAAGGCATGACATCTGACTGTTTGCATGTCCTCCGCTGAAGACTGCCTACCTGTGTGCATCTGTGCACAAGGAGTACTTCCTTGTTGGCTGGAGTCAGTAAGGCAGGCACAGGCACAGCGCACATCTCGACATGAGAAGATGCTTCAAGCTCTGCAGGCATGTCATGCCGATTACATGCAGCATTAGTACAAATATCGAAGGATATTTGCGGCCTTCATACCTGCATTAATGTTTGCAACGGTAGTCATCTGCGGTCTTCTCCTGACACATCAGCCACCTCATCCATAAACAATCAACCACTTGCCTACTGGTTCGTTTTGTGCAAGAGGGCCTACTTCCAGCGTAACAGGAGCATACAGACTGCTTTCTTTGCACCATTCATGAATACGCAGTCTTGCCATGCAGAAACACCGTGGCGCTACGCATGTCAGCAGTGCTATGGCATCATGACTGCAAAGAATACTTCAGTCCTATGTCACCTAAGGGACATTCAATTGGCCGCTGTCATAACTTCGCTCGCACGATACAATAGGTTGGTATGTGAATCGTAGGAGGAATCGCCTTGAGGTAGTATGCCACCGGGGTTATTTCATGTAACGCCTTCGCACTGCAGCTTCGCCCATTCTATTGCAGAAAGGCCACCTTTCCTCCATGATGCACTAGCCTATCTGGTTTTCCTGTCATATCATGAATAGCATTCACCGCCCATTTCTGCCAATGAATGAGGCTTCGCTTCGACACGATTGTGCACACATGCGCGGCGAGGCTCTGTTGAGGTACCGGACTAATTAACCTTTGACAATTTAGTCCTGTTTTCATTGTCCGGATTGCTTGTTTGAATGTACCTGTACAACCCGCCTTGTTAGCGTGCTCCGCTGTCGATCTCCATTGTCAGGTTACGTAGTGTTCAAAATCGCTCTATTATTCCCTGCTCAGTCTTACTTGCTACATTTAAGGCCAAAGGCTCGAGAGATATATGTCGGTAGTTCGTGAGAACATTACCATCTATGTCCTTGGTGACTCCCGACGTTAACGCAGATATTTGGCCTTTCAATGTCATGCTGAATAACATTTAACGAACTAATTGTTTCCATTTACGTTTACTTCTCTCATGAAGTCTGATATTTTACTCATCTCAAGCAGCAACTTGATGCCCCCGTTGATTTCCTTCATGCCATCAATTTTACCTTGCCTGAATTCTGGCAACACGCTCCAGAACTTTACTTCATCCGCAGAGAATCAGCCTTTTATTCCGCTTACGTTACCAAGGAGCTGACGAAATACCACTAACTTGTGGGGGCCCTCCCCGCTAGTGTCATCTCTCCAGTTCAGTCCTTGTTATCAAATCCTCCTGCAGATGCTCCCTACTCCAAGATAAAGGCAGACATTCTTCGACTTAATTCTGTGCCGACCGACACTGGTATCACCAGTTCCTTAAAGAGGAGTCGCCGGGTGACCGGAAGCCCTCAGAACTTCTACGTCGAATGCGTTCTCTCCCTGGAGGCATGCAAGTGGACGATAAATTCGTCAAGGAGATGTTCCTAGAACGTCTGCCCGCAGATGTTCAAACGCTCCTGGCGTCCGGCTCTCAAGATCTTACGGTCTCACAGCTGGCTGAGATGGCGGATCGAATGATAGAGGTGCAGCGGTTTCAGTCACCTTCTATTGCCACGATCCCCTCATCGTCAGTGAAGGATCATTTAATGAAACAGGTGTCGGCGATGGCGGATGAGATGGCCTCCCTTAAAATACAGCTCGCCCGCCTTACTTCCAGTCGCTTAAACAGCTGTTGTCTTTCTCGTTCGCGACCTCGGACTGCCGATACTTGTTGGTATCGAAATAATTTCGGCGTAAAGACCCGTCGCTGGTCCTCACTCTGCTCTTTTAAGCCGAAACAAGAAAACCAGTCAGCCAGAGAATAGATGCGACCGTTTTCTCTGGCTCTTCCGGCTCTGGTCACGCCTTTTATGTTTGCGACACTGCAACGCGCAGACGTTTCCTGATGGACACTGGAGCCCGAATCAGCGTTGTTCCCCCAACTGCAGCTGATCGTCGTTTCCCTAGCCCTGGTCTTCACGTCCAAACTGCCAACTGCTCCCCCATTCCCACTTTTGGCAGTCTGTCCCTCACCCTGAACATTGGCCTTCGTCGGTCATTCACTTGGATCTTTGCGATTGCTGATGTCCCTCAGGCAATCCTCGGCTCGGACTTTCTTGCCGAGTTCGATCTCCTTGTTGACCGCGGACGTGCCCGTCTCCTCGACTGCACAGTCGGTCTGTTTGTTCGTGGACTAACTTCTTTTACTGCCCCCACAACTCATCTTTTTTAAATACGGATACTGATAGCACCTTTTGGCAACTACCTCTTAGTCATTTCAAAATAATTAACCAGCAGTTTCGCAGTGGTGAGGTTCAACATGATGTTGTGCACAGTATTCGGAGCTTAGGCCGCGAAGGCGGAATTTGAACGCAAGCTGCAACTGGGAATACTTCGACCGTCTGAGAGCCCTTGGTCGTCCCCACTGCACATGATGCCCAAGGTGACATCAGGCGACTGGCGACACTGTGGCGACTATCAGGCCCACAGCAGCGATACCATTTCTGATCGGCACTCCGTGCCTCATCTTCAGGACTTTCCTGGAGCCCTTTTCGGCAAAGCGGCTTCTCGAAGATTGATCTGGTGCGTGCTATTCAACAGATTCCAGTCGCACCTGAGGAGATCCTTAAAACAGCCGTCAACACACGCTTCGGTCTTTTCGAGTGCATTTGCATGTCGCTCGGTCTCCGTAATGTCGCCAAAACGCTCTAGAGTTTCATCGACCATGTCTTTCGTGGCCTGTCCTTTGTGTACGCCTACATTGATGAGCGCTTGGTGGGCAGCCACAATGAGGAAGAACAAATAGAGCATCTTGCGTTGGAGTTTGAACGCCTTGATAGGTTTGGCGTTGTCATCAACACCAAAAAGTGCGTGTTGGGTGTGCCTTCGTTCAAGGGCCTCGGCCATCAGGTCGACACTGAAGGATTACGTCAACTACACTCCAAGCCCGAAGCAGTGCGAAATATCCCACCACCAACCTCCAAGCGAAAGTAGCAGCGATTCCTCGGCATTGTCAATTTTTACGGCCAGTTCCTACAGAACCGTGCTGACCTCATGCTGCCGCTCACCAACATGCTTTCTGGTCCCAAAGGCCCCCTCAAGCTGATTAGTGACGCGCTGACTGCTTTTGAAAGTATCAAGAATTCCCTTGCCGACGCCAGTTTACTCACGCATCCCGATCCCGAAGCTCAGCTGTCTCTGATGGTTGATGCTTCGACCGTAGCCGTAGGTGCAGTCCTTCAACAACACCTTGCTGGTTCGACTCGACAACTTGCCTTTTTCTCCAAATCAGCTCTTACCAGCTGAGACACGCTACAGTACGCTTGTCGATGAACTACTCAGGATGTCACTGTTTTCGCTGACCACAAACCGTTGACTTTTGCACTTCGTTCCCACTACGACAAGTACAATCCGAGGGAAATCACCCACCTGGACTACATCTCCCAATTCACCACCGACATCCGCCACATTGATGGCACGAACTATGAGGGGGCTGATATGCTGTCTAGACCCTCATTGTTTTCCCTCCAACTGTCACACGGGACCGATCTTTGCGTCACGGCGGCTGAGCAACAGCGAGTCGGTTGTCCTGGTGACGACTCTGTTAGTGGTCTTCAACTCAAAGACGTCCCTCTGACCACCGGCTCTGGTACTATAGTTTGTGACGTCTCAACTCCCTTTCATCGTCCTTTTGTGTCGGCCTTGATGCGTCGAGCTGTATTTCAAACTTTGCATGGACTCTCCCACCCTGGGTTCAGATCATCTCAAAAACTCCTCGCGGAAAGGTTCGTCTGGCCTGGCATGAACAAGGACGTCAAAGTTTGGACCCGGTCGTGTCTGAGATGCCAGCGCAACAAGGTGCAGCGTCACAACAAGTCCCCACCAGGCACTTTCCCCAGTCCCGATGCACAGTTCAGCCATGTGTACCAGGATGTCATAGGCCCTTGCATCCATCCAATGGCTTCACTCACCTCCTTACCTGTGTCGATCGATATACCCGCTGGGCTGAAGCTATTCCTTTGCCGAATGTGCTGGCTGAAACCATCGTGAAGGCCTTCGTCAGTCGTTGGGTTGCCATGTTCGGTGCCCCATCCACGGTTACGACTGATCGTGGTGCCCAGTTTGAGTCGGCACTCTTCCAAACGCTACTCAATTTCCTTGGCTGCACACGCATTCGGACGACAGCCTACCACCCAGCTGCCAACCGTATGGTTGAACGTTTCCATCGCCAGCTAAAGACCGCCTTGCGTGCCGTAGAAGACCCAGAAAACTCTTCGGACAACCTTCCTCTTTCATTCCTCAGCATCCGCGCAGCTCTGTAGGCGGATCTGGGCTGTAGCGCAGCTGAATTAGTTTTCGGCACTGCCCTCCGACTGCCAGGCTGGATGATCACCCCAAACTCTCGTGGGGCCGACGAGACTCCCGACAGCCTTGTGCACCGCTTGCGGCAATTTATGCGTTCGCTTTCCCCGATTCCACCTCGGACTCCAAGGACTGATTCTTATGTTGACAAAGACTTGAACAACTGCACTTGTGTGTTCGTCTGGTGTGACCGTGTGCGCCAGCCGCTGGAATCACCATACAAATGACCGTTCCGCGTGCTCGCACGCAACGCCAAGACCTTTCGGATTCTTCGCGGTGACAAGGAGGACGTGGTCAATGTCGATCGGATCAAGGCTGCTGTTTCAGTGGAGCCGCCGGACCCGTCCAAAGGACAAAAATGTACTGACCCCATAACCCGTGTTCCTCCGTCTTCCATGTCCCCTCCACATTCACTCTGCCCACTGCCTCGTCCTTCCCCTCTACCCCTCCGCCACGCATACTTCCTCACCGTACAAGTCTACACCACCCAACTGCAACCTCATCCTCCACCATAACACGCAGTCAACACTCTACGACTGTGCCTCCTGCTTATATCACCCGCAGTGACCGTCACGTTCATTTCTCCGAGCGTTTAGTTACGCAGTTTTTCTAGACATATGCATATCATACGGCGCCGAATTACGTCGGCCTCCGGTATAGTAGGGGGGTACTGAGGAGATGAAATGGACTACATTAACTTTGACAAATTAGTCCTGTTTTATTGCCCGGATGGCATGTCTGACTGTGACGAAAAAAAACACATGTAGAAAAGGCCCTGCTAGACTGATCCGATGTCGTGCCCTGTTGTCAGGTGGCTTAACGTTCAAAATCTGTATCAGACAAACCGCTTAGTGTTACATGCTACATTATAGGTAAGGGGATCGAGAGATATAACTCGTTAGATAGTAAGAACATTACCTTCTAAAGGGAAAGAAATGCAGAATATGCGGTAATGGCCCTGACAGTGAATTCTAGGTAACAGTGATGACCGGATGATATATTTAACCAGAGACATATGCTTGACGAGCCTAAAAACATCGCAAGTCACAAAATGTACAGGCATTCATAAAATCATGCCTGCAGCCACAATAATACTTGACCATAGGTCATTGGTTAATTAAAGGGAGCACTTGTGTCCTATTGATTCTGCCGGTTCACGTTGTGTTCGTTCGCAGTAAGCAGGAAGGAGGAGGAGGTTTAGGGGGACGAGGAGGAAGGGGAGGAGGGGGGGGGTAGGAGGAAGAGGAGGAGGAGGAGGAAGACGAAGAGAAGGAGGAGGAGGAGGAGGAGGAGAAGAAGAAGAAGAACTTACCTTCTTTTTTGCAGGTCTCTTCGCAAGTGGATAAGTCCGCGCATTGTTCATCATCGTCAGTGCAGGGTACAAAGATCTGGTAATCTTCGTCGCATTTGAAGCGGTCTTTTGTTGGTTCGGGAGCTGGTCATTTAGGAGTGGTTACAAATGGAAGAAATGATGAGGTTTGAGTGGAGAAAGGCGAAGAATTGCAGAATGAAGTATGCCACGTGTAATCAAGTCTATCAGTCACCGCCGCATCAGACAGCCTCCTGCGAGATAAGTGTACATAGGCCAGGCCATTGCCGATTTCTGCACAGACATCCTCATGCAGACTACAGTCATTAGGCTATTCGCTGACACAGGCTATGCATGTATGTGCGCCTGCATGGCTTTTTGAGGCGTGCGCACTTGCAGGCACTTGCGCCCCTGCAGGCACTGCATCCGTTAGAAAGACAAGCCTGCTGGCTGCCATTCCAAAAAACATGGTCAATTTTTACCGTCGGTTCCTACCGAACTGCGCTGACCCCATGCTGCCGCTCACCAA